TGGCGTTTCCTGCCACGCCGGGCCTGCCTGGGCCGCGCCAGCGCCGCTCCACCGAGGGCTGCGCGTCGGCCGCCACGGGGCCGGGGTGAGCATGAGGGCCACGGGAGGATGTGCCCAGGGTGCGGGAGGGTGTGCGGGATTGGGCTGACCGTTTGGGCCACGGGAGGATGCGCAGGGGGGCAGCCTGAGAGAGTGCGCGGGGCTAGGGTGAGTGTTCCGCAGAGTGTGCGGTGGGTGGAGACCAAGCGTTTTGGGGGGGCGTTTCTGGGCCCGCAGGGCCCGCAGGAAACTGCTCGGCCCTGAGGCCATCCAGAGTGAAGGACGAGTCCCAGATGGCGGGTACGAGGAGGCCCGAAGGCCTTCTCGCGGCGGGCGGGGGGCGGCGGTCAGGGGCGGGAATCGCGGATGTGCCGAGGCCTACGCTGCTTTTGGGGGGGGACACTGGGAACTGGTCATTATGGGAAGGAGGGGACCCCTGCCCCAAGCGCAATGGAGGCTGAGGGGGGAGGGGGCGTTGGGAAGGTTAAAGGGCTTTCCCCCAGTCTGGGGGAGGGGCTGAGCCGCAGTCTGGGGCGCTGGGTGGATGAGCTGCGAAGGGTTCCTGCTGATGGAGTTCCTCCTTTCCTTTTGGGTGGAGGTTGAGCCTCAGGTTGGTGGGGAGGGATGGGGGGATAGCCCAGAGCCCAAGAGCTGTGAGGGAGCGCGAGGGGGCAGCGCTTGCTGGGGGAAGATGAGCTCAAGGCTCTAGGTCTGAACAGGGCTTTTTCTGTCGTCCTTCTGGGGGCCACCATCTCCTCCTCCTGTGCCTCCCCCTTAAGCCCCTTTGCTGCCTCTAGTCTATATTTGGGTGATTAATTACATGTCTTTTTCCATCCTACCCCCACAAACACACACTTGCCTGCCGCCCAAAGCCCATGGTCCCTTTCAAACAACCCCCACCCCCCCCAAATCCTGGCCCTCTTCCCAGAGGTCCCACCCTGTTCCAACTGACGCCCTCCAGCCAACGTTGGCCTAGCCTGGCTGCCAGCCCCCTTCAGTCTCCTTGGTCAGTGAAATATTTTCTCTTAAACCTCAGACCCGACATTTTTCCTTTACCAAAGGATTTCAGAGGAGATTGCCAGAACAGCACCCCCTCTGGGTACTGATGCCTACTCACCCCCTTCCCCATCCTCCCTCCCCCATTGAGCCTTTAAGTAGAAGCAGCTTGCCAGGCACAGTCCAGTCCATTCCCCCCAAAATGTCCCTGGATCTATGTTTAGAATCCTATTGAACAGTGATTTGCAGCCTTCTTTGAGTGAGAGACCCCTTGGAAAATCACTAGAAAGTGTGAATTCTCTTCCCAGGAGTCTGACAATTGGCGCAGACAGCGGGATCCCATCCCGGAAGCTCACAGGCCTGAGTCCTGTCTGCTGAGTGCTGGTGGTGAGGAAGACTCCGGATTCTAGATAGGCCCAGTACTAACAAGGCACAGTTCTACCTTCCAATCCCCAAAGTGCTGGCTGCAAATGCAGATTCCTTGGCCCCTCCCACACCTGCTACTCTGCCCCTTGAGTTCTTAGCAAACCCGAAGCCAGGATTCTCGTGCACTGATCCAGCCTCGGTCCTAACCTGCCTGGGCTCCCCAAATGAGCATCCCTCATACCTGTGTAGACTCTCTCCTATCCAGGGCAATGTAACCTAAACAAACCTATACTTATAATTTATTTTGATTTTTAGTAAGATGCCATGCGTCTTCTTGGGAAAGGGGGAACATAAACCTTTTCTCAGTTAAGTACAACAAACACTACAAAATCCCCTTCTGGTCTACCTTCTGGCTTTTTATAGAAGGGAAAGAAAACGGAAACCTAAAGAGAGAGGGACAGGTGCCCAGGCAAAGTGAGAGAGGAAAACCGGGGAAGATGGAGACAGATGCCTCCCACCCACGCACACAGAAAAAGACACGCACAGACACAAACATCCCAAGAGAAACAGACTTTCCTGGTGAAACACCCGCTCTTGGCCCTTTAGGATTCTGCCACTTCTAGCCGCAGTGCGTTTGCACAATACTGGGTGGGCCCCGATAAGGCCTTTGTGGCCACATCCTGGTGAGACAAGTTGAGAGCACGTGGAGGCCAACTTCAGCTCCAGCCCAGAGGCTTGGGTCAGCATCCTGGCCTTGCCTGGCTGGGTTGGACTGGGATCTTGGCAGTGTGTGTTGTCTCATCCTGTCCTTCGAAGGGTCAAGCACTCATGACCCAAAGAGACATGTTCCTGGAAGGTGCACCCGAGTCTGCTTCTGTCCCCCTGAATTATTTCAGTCCCAATAGGTGGGACATTACCAGCCTGACTTATCACTCAGAATTGGCCTGAGACACAATGAGCCATCCTTGCATGTCTCTCTGGGGTGAGTCTGGGAGTTTACAGACCATGTCTGCTGGCCTTAAAGCTGGTCGTGCTGTCAGAAGGCCCCATGGGCGAGGATGCAAGATGGTGGGAAGTATCCTTTCGTTTCTGGAAGCACTTCTGTTTGCATATATGTCAGCGTCACTGAGCCGTCTCTGCCCAGGGACAGCCCTCGGTGTGAGCAACAAGACTCGAGGGAGGACAGACACCCAGTGAGGAGAACTGGGAATCTAGGCAGTCATTTGCATGGGACAGAAAGCCGCAGGCACCCATCTGCATTAGTGCTGAGGAGTGAGGTCTCTTGTCTGACCTATAAAGACACCCTCCAGGGCATTTTTGCTCTGCCCAGAACTGAACACCACGAGCTCGCTATTGTCTTCCAGGGCCTGAGGACATTCTGCCACAGGTCCTTGTTTAGATGTTCCAGGGAGTCCAGGTATTTCTGGCATCCCTTAGAAGTTTCTGGAAGCTGCTAGATAGAGCCAGTTCGGGTGGCCTTGCTGCCTCTCCCCTGCCCCACTGCCCAGGGGAAAAGGGTACCTGCTGGGGAGGTTGCATGGCCGTTGGTGCCATGGAATTGATGAAATACTGATCTTTTAGGCTCAGATGCAAACTTTACTAGTACATTCTGAGGAGGGATTCTGAGCTCACACGTCACCTTTTAAAGACACCTAATTATTCACTGCTTTTTTGACATGGGTTGGTTTTTGTCTCCATTGAATTCAACTCTTAATTTCTGTTCTTTCATATCAAAGTGGAATGGTTATTTTGGTTCTCAGCGTTTCTGATTCTATACAGAAAATTTGATTTAAAGAAGTTGATTAAAATTTACATTGCCATCTAAAGCACATATGAGGAATATTTCTGCACTCACATGAGCTCTCGTGTTGTAGAATACATGATTTTTCAGATTGTCAGGCAGGGGTTTAGCACCGAGAGGATCTCCCTGTGCTCATCAAACAGTTGCAGTCTCTCTGGCACTTTGCTTGGTCCAGGGTGGAATCTGCCGTCAACCTTTGCTAGGGCCTTCACTCTCTGGGAGTGCATAGGCATTAGACTATACTTCAGATCCCACTTAAAGAAGGAGAACAATATTATTTATATTAAGAGACAGAGATTTGTTTTTCCATAATCTTTCTCCAAACTGCCATTTCCCAGGTGGGTGTAGGAGTGCACCTTATGAGTTTTGGGTGAATCCAAGTGCCTTATGGTCAAGGTCAGCATCGTCTTCTGTATCCATCAGGTGCATTACTATGGTGTTCATATTCTTCCTGGAATTGCTTTGACCTTGACCCCTGCAAGTCCACTTTTGGAAGGCAGTGGACAACTGTATTTGTCACTCTTGTCACAGCATCCGGCTTCTTTCCCAGGTTAGTTCCACCATTTCAAAGCAGAGCGGTCGTACAGCATGGCTTCTAAATGATCAGATGATCTTCGGGATTGGTGATAATTTACCTTTAACTGCAGTGGGGGTTAATGTGTATTTTATCATACAGAATTTAGCTACTTTTGTGAAAGAAGGGCTCACTTTTTCCCTCCTATTTTTATGAGCACTTTCTAAATGATCTCTGTATGTCCGTGAGTGCTGGGACTGTGTGTGGTGATCTGAAGTTCTTGCAGGTTAGGTCCCCTGGGCAAGCCTGATACAGGAAGGGCCACTCCTGTTGCTGCACGGGAAAGGATAATTAATAATTCACTTGGGGGTTGTGGCTTGAGGATTTCAACAGTTAATCATTCCAATTAAGTAAAAACACTTTGATAGGATCTGCTCAATTAAATAGAACACTTCAGGAGGATGTGCTCAATTAAACATGGGTGGCTTGGAAGAACTGTGTGTAAGTGTGAGTGTGAGAGAGAGAGAGAGAGAGAGAATGATGTGTGTGACTAGCGCCCAGTGAGGGTCTCTGATGGTATATCAAAAGGATGATTTAAAGCCAGTCCCCTAAGTCCATATATATCGTTAGGCTATTAGGACATTCAGTAACTGCCTATTCTCTGGATATGGCCTGGTGTTAGAGGGCTGCATATTTCCTTTCTTTGGTGTGGCTTGAAAAGTCTGAAATCTTGGGAGCTGGGCCTCAGGCAAGTTACTTAACCTCTTGGATCCATGACTTCCTTCTGTGTAAAATGGAGGTTGCAGTAATTAAATGACGTGAAGGGAGAAGCACAGTACCAAACATGTAGTAGGTACTCTGTAACTAGAGGTTTGCTCCATTTAACACGCCCCTCCCCCCACAGTTTATTCCATGTCCACTCGGCGCCAGGAGCTCCTGCAGATGCTGGGGATCCAGGGGTGACCAGGAGTGACCAGGAAAGAGAAGGTCTCTATCCTTTGGGAGGTGACGTTTCTCCTGGGGAGTCAGGTAAAGACAATTTCATTTCAGAGGATGATTTTTAGGTAGTGAAAAGTGTTACGAGTAAACGGTGATTGGGCTCGAGAGTGAAGACACTTTAGGAGGTAACACTTGAATGAGGCCTGAATTCTTAGCAGGAACTACCTGTGGCATGTTCAGAGCCCCGAGGGTCATCACCTTGGCATATTTAGGACAGAATGAATGTCAGGGTGTCTGGAAGGAATGACTGAGATGCGGGGTGCAGGATTTGGGCCAGGTGGGCTGGGCCAGGTCTTTGTAAGGGGTTAAGGCCTTAGGTCTCGGGCTTGAGGACAGTGAGACAAGTTTTAACAGGCCATCTTTTTCAGAAGGTAAATATGAGATGCTCTGTCCATTCCACTTGGCAGCAAAACCTCAATGTCAATGGAAGTGAGTTTTCTTAATGAATTGTATCAGTAATCTACGACCAGTTTGTTTTGTATTGGAAGCCAAAGTCAAACCAGACCTCAAATGTATACCAGGAAGAATCCCAACTGCTCAGAGGGGGGCCCTACCCAGGTGCCAGTGGGACACAGAGAGCTTGGCCGCTGGGTACCTAGGGCTTCACTCACACACGAGGGAAGCACCTGTGCTGGGCAGTGGGTTAGAGAAGGGAATGGGGCTTCTGTGGATGTTGAGACTAAAGGAGGCCTTCTGCTCACACCCATCCATGGCACTGAGAGCCTGGGGAGATGAGCCCAGGAAGTCCCAACCCCGTGGTCCTATCCCTGAGCTTTCTGGGACTGCCCACACATTGCTCTCAGCCCCTCGCCCCTGTGTCTGCCATGCCCGTGTGGGTACCTCAGGATGTTGCTCAGCTTTCAGGGCCATTCCCCATTGTTTCCTTGGCCTCAGCCCTACCCCCTCACATGCTAAGAATCTTTCTTATCTGAAGCCTACCCAAATCTTTTTAAATTGTTATTCTTTTCTGATTACCAAAGAAATGCAGCTTGGTTACTAAAAATTCACGTGTTGCAGAAACAGAAAGCAGAAGACCTTTCTAAATCTAGACTCTACCCCAGGGTGGCACACATTACAGTATGGGTGTGCTTATTTTAGCTGCAAGTCACTCCGTTTACTCCTTTTTTCTCCCAAAATGTAAATGTATACTTAGCTGTTCTCTCCCCTTCCCCTACTCTCTTTGGATTTTTTAGTAAACAGTTACTGTCTGTCTCCATCTTCTGTGAAGGATTTGAATTTTTGTAATCTGTGTGTCATCCGTATTAGCCACCTGTTGATTTTTTTTTTCATTTTTATTTCTTTTTCTTTTTCTTGTTTTCTACCACTTGTTGATTTTATGTTTAAGCTCTCCAGTTTTCTTCCTGCTCTGAGTTCTAGGACTCTTCAGTAAGGTCTCCAGAGCTCTGAGCCACATTCATCATTCCCCCTCTCCTTTTCTTATTTTTGACATTGGGATTATTTAGACCTATGGTATATTGTTTTCCATCCTTTTACTTTTCACCTATCTATGTCTTTACATTTAAAGTCTTTATGTTTAAAGTTTCTTACAGACAGCATAGAGTTGAGTTTTGTTTTTAATATAGTCTAATAATCTCTGCCTTTCAATTGGAGTGTTTAGTCCATTTACATTTAACTTAATTATCCATGAGGTTGGATTTAAGTTTGCCATCTTGCTATTTGTTTCTATTTATTCTGTCTGTTCTTTTTCCTTTGTTTCTTTACTCTTTTGGATTATTTTTTAGAATTGTATTTTATCTCCACTCCTGGCTTATTAACATGCATCAGAGTCTCAGAGGGCTTCCTTAAACACACAATCGTATGTTTTATTTATGTGTATGTTATAAAACCCACAGTACCTTATTATTATTTTTGCTTTAAATGGTCAGTTATTTTTTAAAGATTTAAAAATAAAGGGGGTAAAAATGTTTTTACATTCCTGGTGTTCTTCATTCCTTTGTGTCCATCCAAGTTTCCATCTGGTATCATTTTCCTTCACCTGAAGAACTTTCTTTAATATGTCTCATAGTACAGGTCTGCTGGTCACCAATTCCCTCAGCTTTTTGTCTGAAAAAGTTTTTATTTTGCCTTCATTTTTGAAGGGCATTTTCCCTGAACATAGAATTCTAAGTTGACAGGGTTTTTTTTTCCATTAGCACTTTAAAAGTGTCATTCAACTGTTTGCTGGCTTGCACATTTTCTGATAAGAAGTCCATAGTTATTCTTATCTTTGCGCT